CTATATTAACTTACGGTTCACTCGTGTGGTGGCCGGCGTTGAGGAAAGCTTACAACTGTACCAAGATCGGTAGGGTACAGAGGGCTGCATGCATAAGCATTACGGGGGCATTGAGATCGACGCCCACGGACGCTATGGATGTACTCCTCCATTTGCTTCCACCGGACATCCATATTAAGAATCTGGCCGCGGCAGGCGCTGTTAGACTCAGAGAAGCTGAGTGCTGGCACGAAAGGCCGTATGGCCACGGCAGTGTCCTTCAGTCACTACCGGACGGAGTGGTTGCGGATGCTACAGACTATTGCATCCCTAGACTTGAGCTTGACAAAAAGTTTCGGGTTGAGCTTCCGTCTCGCGGGCAGTGGAAGAGAAATCTTCCACTGCAAGGCTTTGATATTGCTCTCTTCACTGACGGTTCCAAGGATGGGAATGGGGTCGGTGCTGGAGTATTTTCGGGGACTCAGAACATATCGGAGTCATATCGCCTTCCCAACGGATCAAGCGTGTTCCAGGCGGAAGTATTCGCCATATGGAAGGCATGCGAAATCCTGGGAAGGGATTTGGTTGTGGCCCGGGAGGTCGCAATTGTGACGGATAGTCGGGCTGCGATTCTGGCTCTAAATTCGCCAAAGATATTCTCAAAGTTGGTAGGGCTTTGCTACGATGAGCTGACGAGATTGTGCAGTCATCATAGTATCACCTTACTCTGGGTTCCGGGACATAGGAACATACCAGGAAACGATCGGGCTGACGAGCTGGCCAGATGTGGGTCGGCATTGGACGGCTCCAGGGCCGAGCGAGTTCTTGTCCCTATAAACACCATCAAAACTGATATATACCGCTTCCAGGTGGCATGTGCGGACCGCAGGTGGAGGGGCCTGAGCACATGTGCAACGGCTAGGAAGGCGTGGCCGAAATACGACCATAAGAAATCAGTGGGCCTCCTGGCGATGCCTCGACCGGACATAGCTAAGTTAGTGGCTGTGTACACGGGGCATTGGCCTGTGGGGGATCATGCAGCTAGGCTGGGAATGCCCTTTAATACGTCATGCCGCAGTTGTCGGGAGATAGACAAAAAAGAGACGCTTTTTCACTATCTCTGCGAGTGTCCGGCTCTTCAAAGGGCCAGGTTGTTGTCATTTGGGGAAACGGACATAATGTGAACTGGGGAACATTTCTAGTAAAAGTATCAGGGACGTAAATAAGTTCCTTAAAAGAACGGGGTGGCTCTGATCGCTGGCCCTGGACCAACGTACTTTGACAACCGAGTTTCACGAGGCGGTGGTAGCAAAACGGCACGTCAGTGCTAATTGGGGTGTTGGCCAGTTGGGTCGCACCGGCCACTCTAACCAACCAACCAACCATTACATACTTTGACGTTTGCTTGAAAAGTTCAATTTAAAGTTCTGTGCCAATGTTAATTTTTAACAAATATTACCAAGTCATTAAAAACATTGCATTTTTATGCTGCATTTTAGGAAAAAAAACTTAATAACTGGCACTTTTTTGCTGAAAATAAATGCTAATTGATTTAATTGGATATACATGGCAACATTTATATGACAAGGTTTTTCGATACCCGGTTTACTTTAATTTTACGTCTCCAATACATATAAAACGCATTTAGGAAAAGTGTACAATGTCAACAGCTTTTACTAAACTTTTTGGAATTTGATACTTTGTAAAATTTACATCGTAAGCGAATAATTCTTCAATATCCAAGATTTTTCTATTAGGCTCTTCTTCAAATTTATAATATTTTTGCAGAAGCTAAACTTAAAATTTCCTTTAGAACTTTAAATCCAGCTATCATCATCGAATATGCAATTCTTGCAGTTTTGCAGTTTGGATTTATCGAACGTACTTTACATTAGGCTAGAATTAGAACAGATCGTATTAAGTAGACCTAGTTTAGAACTGATCCCCAAAGTTAGAATTTACTTTAATGAACAATTTAAATACAACCATTTCTGCAATAATTTTAACATATATTCTGCAACATTTCGTTGCGTTATCAATCTGCGCCTGAAGTAATGTTATAGTTGCCATGTTTTTGATATGATTAAATAGGAAGGTTGCACTTTAAATTTAAATCATAAATTTTAAGATTTAAAAAACTTTTTCGCAAAAAGACGAATGAATGATTCAAGATAACCAATCGTGTACATTTCTTATAAAATCATTAAATTTATCAGCTTAAACTTACTACTTATATATTTTAAAACTTTTGATTATTTTTTAATAGTTATTAATATAACCGATCTTGGACTACTTACACATTAGAGACCATATGCATATGTTTGTATATACAATTTACATAGCTCCGATCTTTCAAATTGCAATAGCTCATATTTGCATATTGTTTGTGTATTAATATTGCGCTTTGTTGAATCTTTTGTTTTATTTTTCTTTTTAATTCGTTAATGTTTTATTATAGATTTTCTCTCTTTGTTTCAAGATTCGTTCAGTTTTCATCTCTTATTCACTTAAAAATGACGTAATTTTAAAATTATTCCACACTTTGCTTGTTTATAAGATTTTTATATTTTCTATTGTATGATGTACTATGCCGTATAGTGGGGTTATGTTTACATACATATTTCACATTATACATGTATCATTGTGGTACATATATACACATATTATGATGAATTTCTTCAATAGTAAAATGCAATGCATAATGTAAAGCTTTTCAAAGAAAATTTTTCTTTGTTAGCTGAAAATTTAAAATAGAAATAGAATCAATTTTATTGAGATCATGACATTTGGTCTGCTGTTGTTTTCACACAAGTTATTTTTAACATTTACTCTTTATAGAGTTGGTATAGAAAATTGCTCTGCATGTCTTAAAGTATAATTAGTTACGCAGTAATTTTGATAAATTTAATAGGAATTTGAAGTTTTTTCATACTATTCATTGCATAAAAAGATCTCCAATGTTAAAAACTGACATTGCATGTATGTACATATATTATGCCTGTAAAATAAAAACAAAGTATTCTTATACTCTACACCTTATGGGGCGATATATTAACTTATCTTATAGGTATCATTCGTAGTGTGAACATGTATTCCTCCCTATTGTAAAATTCTGTATTGGTCTGTAAGGCAGACAGACTAACACGTATGTCCAGTGTTCGTCTGTTTGCCTTTCTTTACGTCCCTTTGTACATTAACTCAAAAACAAAAAAACGGAAAACACAATTTGTAATTGAACTAATTCCATTAGCTCAAAAATATTATTTTAAATTTTTCAAAAACCAATAAAACTAGCTGTATGGAATTTGGTAGTCATGTGTCTAATTACAGCTCAGATAAATCCTAAGTTTTTATGAAATAACTTAACAGATTCGGGAAACTGCCATACAATCGTAAAGAATAGTTTTAGATATTTGGAAAGCTATGTAAAACTTCATAAAATTTGGCACAGATGTGTTTAATTTTATCCCAGATAAATTCTAGACATTTGTGATATTTATTAGTATTAAGGAATTTTGTCAAAGCTTGAAATTTAGTACTTACATATTAAAAAAAGAATAAGACTCTCAAATTTCCTGAAACTTTTATAATGATAAACTTTATAATAAAGAAAACACTTCAAATTGAATTTTTTGTTTTTGAAAATCATTGAATAAATAATTTTTTATTTTAACAGTTTACTTTTGTTTAGAAAATTTTCTATAATTTTTAGTTTTTTGTAATATTTTACCATTTTTTTTCTCAATTTTAATTTTTTAATTTTTACAATTTTCTTTTTTCATATTAAATCTGTACAAATTTTTAAAACATTTTTTTTTTTTAAATTAAATTATTTTTAAATTAAATACAAAATTATTTTATATAAAAATTTTTAATTACTTTATTACTAATTTACTCTTTTGACCACAAAATTAATTTAAAATTTTTATTTTCTAACTAACAATACACAAACAAATATTCATAAAATTTATACATAATTGAAAACAATTCCTTTTTCGAAATGATTACAATAAAATGTAATCGTCGGTTGCATTTCCTTTCCAATTACATACATAAAATTGAATTCTTTTGTTTCATGTTTGCAGTTCTAGGGAATTTAAACAAAAATTGCAAAAATTTACGATTTCATACCAAAAAAAAAAGAAAAATACTTTCTATGTTTTATTTTTACAAATTAAATTACGAAATTTTGACAAAAAAAAAAAGCGAGCTAAAATTTTTTTTTATTATAAATTTAAACTTAAACCTTAAATTTCTTCTTTTTTTCTAAATTTAAACATTCACACAAAATATATAATTTACATATAAATTATTCCTTTTTTTTAAATTAATTTTATAAATATTTTTTTTTTCTTATTTTGCTTTAATTACTTTTCTTTATTCTCATTTATTTAACTTGAAAAAGGGTGGGTTTTTAATATTTTAATTTCGAAATAATTTAAATTAAAATGAAAACAATTCCAAAAAAAAATATCTATATTAAAAATTAAAAAAAAACTAAAAAAACAAATTCAACTGTTTTTATAAATAAAAAAAAAAAAAAAAAAATAATATTATAAACCAATTAAAATAAAATTATTAAAAAAATAATAAATTGTGAGATCAATTCTTGATACCGTTTTACAAGTGTATCTCTAAAATCTACACACTTTCAATTATAATTTCTTAAGACATTCTATGTGCCTGATACTATTTTTTTGTTTGGAAGAAAAAAACTGTCACTCATATATCACTTTTATACTATTGTTATATTGTTATATTAAGCAAGAAAACAGCATTTTTTTGAATATGGTACACCAAAATTTTTTAATTTCCGATTTTTTATCCGATTCAAGGCGCAAACAGACATGCGATTTTTAATTTTGCAATTATAGCTTGATTGTAAATTAATTGCGCTCCGACACTTAAAACAACTAAATTATTTGAAATTATGAAATTGCAATCAGTTTGTAAAAGATTACAAACTGTAGGACTGCTTAATTGCGTGCGCGCGATTGAATAAAGATCTTTGGAATATGTCTGCGTGGGCGTTTAACCATTTTACTTTTGAATCCTCGATTTTAACTTTTCATATAAATTCTTCTACTTTAGCAATTCTAGTTTAAGAAGTTCTTTGATTTTTATTTTTTTGAAATTTATGAAAAAATGTTATGGAAAGAATTAAAAATTTATTTTCACTTATACTATGTAATTTATTTTGAGCGACATCTTTCAAACGTTTGTGCAACATTTTTTCTTTTTTATAAGACTCGAAAAATCTTGGTTGTACACAAAAATGCTATGCTTAAATTTTTCTTTCTCTATGATTGACAAGGATTAAACATGGTTTCTTTTTCAAAATTATCTTGATTATTTTCTTGATTCATGCAAGTGTGTGTGTGAGTGTATTCATAAATGTGTATTTATCATTCGTATGGACTATTTTCCTGTTTTTTTTTTTTACATTTTATATTCTAATTTCTATAAATTTTCGTCATTTTTTTATTCTTATTAGAAAAAATTATGGTATGCATAATTAAATGTTAAAATTTTCATTGTTTGTTTTGTATTAAAAAAAAAAAAAGAAGATGTCCTTTTTTTTGAATTCATTAATATGAGAACTCCTCATGAAATGACATTGTCTTCAATTACATCTTCTCTAATATGCGACGATTGCTGATGATGGTGATGATTATTGTTATTATAAAGATTATGAATTATTGCTTTCTGAGGCTTCGGCTTATCATTTGTATTGAAAGTGAGTGATTTTTTAACGAGAAATTTGTATTCTGAAATAGAAAAATGAAAAAAAAAAATATTAATTATTTTTGTAAAAATTAAAAAGATATTTCTAATGTAAGAAAAAATTATTATTAAAGAATTAAGACGCAATTATACTCTCAAACATACTAATCAGAAAAACAAAAACAAATAAATCAACTTAAGTATTGGTCAAGGACTTGTGTTTTAGATAATCGAAATAATGTACATTGATTCATAAGAAGCTAGTTATGTAGGTTTATAAAATAATATTTAAGTAAGAAATTAAAAATACACATAAGTAAGTACAAGTGTATCCAATTTATTTTTAATACAATATTTGTATTATTATACATACATACATATATATATAAGTACATAAAATTATCAGACAACTTGCTCCAATTTCATTGAAAGAAAAATAAATTAATTTAAAACTTATGATTCATATGACATTCAATTTTTTGTTTGCTTCAATTTTTTTTTTCTTCATTATTTCAAAAAAATCAACAAAAGTTATAAAATATGGTGCAAAACAATGTTATATTTTTACATACATACATACGTATGTATGTATTCAAGTATATTTTTAAATATACTTAATAATTAATTACGTATTCCGATGAATTTCATGACAATGTTAATAAAATCAGAAAAAAAAAATTAAATTAAATGAATTTTAACCGCACAAGTATGAGTGCACTAATTTATTGTTGATGACTAAATTTACCCTTTGTTTTTTTTACTACTTACTAAGTAATCAAATCATTCACTTTCTTTGAATCCAATTTTCCACATACTTATTGCTTTTTCTTATCAAAAATTAGTATTTTTTTTTTCCGTTGTTCAATTTGGACAATTTTGGATGAAATCTTATGCGTTTAAAAGTAACAATACTCTAAATTGCAACATCTGTTATAAGATATCCTATACTTTTTTCAGTTATTTTATTTACCTATAAGGGTATACGTTGAGTAAAGCAATGAATTTTTGGATCTTAAATTTTCTTCTTAACCGAATAATGAACTCTTAATAAATTGGTCAAGTAGAAAAATTCATTTTATAAATATAAAAGAAAATTCTCATATTCAATGTTTCATATTTCGTGGAGTATAGAGAGTATAGAAGATCCCGTATACTTAACTCATAATTTTTCTGCTTTCCTTTTTTTCGTTTTTGTTGTTTTTTTTTTTTTTTTGGTAATTTAATACGGGAGGTCTTGTCAGTCATTTTAATTGTTCATGTATACACTAATTTTTTCATAATTTGATATTTAGTTACTCGACTACATAATATTGTTCTTTATATTTCAAGTATGTATGTATGTAATATGGAAGGAAATAATAAATTAATAAAAAGTAAGAGGAATTAATATTTTTTTTTGTTTTTTCTTTATTTCTTTAATATTATGATATTCGATACATTTTGTACAAAATGCAATGCAGTAAATTATTATCTTAAACATATGGAAATTATTTTGAGAAAATGATATTTTTTATCAATATCTAATAAAATTTATTAAATTACTTTCACTCAATTTTATAAAATTACGATGGCTCAATATTAAAAGGATATTTGGGAATGTTATCAGATATTGAAGCGACAAAATAATATCAAAATTTCAAATAAATGATTTTGAACAGTTTTTGAAAAAGCATATAGCTAATACTTATTTAATATTTATATGTATGTATGTACTTAAATTTTATTACTAAATGTTCTCATTACTTTCGGCGTTTCCCACTATCTTGAAACAAATGGACTTGCATTTTGTATTTTGTGTACTTTTAATTAAGTTTATTTTTATAATTAAAAATTAACTTTAAATTAGTTAATTTGATTAGCTCTTGGAAGATAATTAGTTCGATAAGGTGTATAAATGGGAATGTAAATACTTAAGTATTGGACAAAATTAACATTTACAAAGTTTTTTTGTTCTGAATTGAAGAATATTTTCTTTTAACATATTGCAAAAAAAATTAATTTAAAATTATTACTTATTTCGAAAAAATTATATTTAATATTTTTAACAAATATAAGTAATGATTTATAAAATTCACGACAAGTTGAATAATTTTTAAAAACCAATAATAAACGCTTTGAATAATAATCAGCCTTTTACTCAAGTATGCGTTTCGATTTCAATCAATTATTCATTTTTAAATAGAACATGAACATGGTAAGCATACTTAATTTATAAATATTTTTTATTAAATTTTAAATACTTACTTCTAACCAAAACAAATAGAAGAAAAGTTAAATAAGACTCTCAAAATAAAAATTTCATAACTATTGGTTTTATTCGAACAAAATAAACATATGTAGTTACTAAACTAGTAATTACAACTTACACACTTTACAATTTTAAACAAAATTCTTTTCAAAATTTTGTAACTCTAAATTATTGTGGCTCAATTCGTACTAAGTAGTAACTCTATTTAATATTATAAAAGAAAATATTTTTGTTGAAAATTTTATCATTAAAAACCACAAGTCTCGTATATAAATTTTACTAGTAAATAAGAATGTGTGAATTACAAAAACAAAATTGATAGTCCAAGTGAGAATGCAAGGAGAGGGGAAGACAAAACACTTTTATTTTCAATAAGTAAATTTTTTTTTGTCTTTTATCAACAGTAAACACTAAAATTAATTTAATATAATAATAAAAATCGTCATTATTATTTATACATACATACATAAATACTTTAATTTAGTTTTTGTTTCTATAATGCTTGTCACTTTCTATTTAATATTGTATACTTATCAGTAGCCGACCATTAAAATAATTAAGTTGAACGAATTATTTATTTGTAAGAACATACATACGTATTTATTTATGCAGATACATATATGTATGTACACTTGATATTCGCATAAGTATGTCATCCAATTAATGATATTATAAAGAGCAGCTTGTATTAAAATACGACTGCTTCCAATTAAGTATTAGATTTTTGGTAAAATAATAAAACTGGAAATTAAGTGTTTTATCTAATTAAACTGATTTCTAATTAAATTCAATAGAAAAATGGCCGGAATAATATAGAATGAAATTTTTATTTTATTCATTTATTAAGCATTTACATAAAGAAATTATTTCAGGTAGAAGACAATACAATTAAGTAACTCATATGTAAAATCAAAACTGCATTTCTAGAAAATTCTGCAATAACAATTCAAAAGCTTAAGACTGCAACTTCTAGTCAGCTTTTGTTTGAATTTTTGTTTGAGAAACCGCCTCAGAACTTTTAATTACGGGCGTTTGACATTCTTTCCACATTTGATGCAATTTTCTTAATTTTTAATATTTATATGTAGTAACTAGGTCAATTTTAATTAAAATATCTGGAGCCAAAAAAAAAATAAAAACTTAATTAATTAAACAGACCTGACGAAATCTTAAAAGCACTTTACATTTTCATTTCAAAAGTTTCATAAACTTTTTTAATTACATGAACAAGCTAAGCATCCAAGTATGCGTACTTATTGTATTTTAGTTTGTAAGAAAACTTCTCATTTTTACTATTTTTAGTGTTTTTCAAAGCAAATTAAGCCTTTGAACAATACAAAATGAAAAAAAAAACATTAAAAGCTCATACTGCTTCAATAAAATATTTCAAAACTTCTTGTTTTAAAACTTGTATTGAAACAAATTATTAAAGTATGTTACTTTAAACAAATGGTTTTTTAAGTGACCTAAATTGAACAAAATGAAAAAATTATAAAAAATTAGAAACGAAAGCAACACTATCAATCCGAATATTAAAAAGATGAAAATAAAATCATAAAATTGGAACAGAATTTTCAATTGAAGCTTAATTGAAGTAATTTATGTGATCACCATTATTATTTTATTGTGAAAAATGTAAATAAAAAATACGTTTTTATATTGGCATAGAAACGCGTTAATTTTTGTACATAAAGTATATATACCCGTACATTTATGGAGAAATAGATTCAAAAATTTTCTAGACTTCCTCATATTTCCTATGAAATGATTGATTTAAGTAACTTAATTTTTAACGATTGTTTTCATTTACACAAAATATAAAATAGACTTTTTAAATTTAAACTAAATGTTTAAATAAGCATTATAGTTACGTACATACTTATGCACATATACGAATGTATTATCCGTAAAAAAATTCTTGAGGAAATATTCAATTGTTCAATTGCCGTACTTGAACAAATTTTCTAATGATAATAATTTTATAATTTATTCTTAGATACTTAAGAATAAAATAAATTTACTGCTGTAAGTACTTTTTCTTTTATCATAAGTGCAAATTAAACAAGATTTTTTCAAATTGCTGCACGTTTACTAAATATTGCTGCTTGCATAACACATTGCACATTATCACTCGCTTGAAAGAGTTGCTTTTGTAAATTTGCAATACTTAAAGTGAATTTGAAATTGTAATTTCTTTTATAAAAAAATATACTTATATTGTTGGAATTCAGAAAATAGCTGAAGCACTTTGGCAAAAATGCAATTTTTGTAAAATAGAAATACAAAACCAAAAATATTTAAAATAATAAAGAATAAAATCATAAATTTTGTATAACAAATTTTTATTTTATTAAAAACACCAAGCGAGTATATAAAAAATTTCTAAAAATAAAATTAAAAATGAAAATAACAAAATATAAATTAAAAAATAAAATTTTTATTTGTTTTTTATTTTTTTTTATTCTTAAATACTCGTATAACATCACATTACCATGTTTTTGAATAAATATTTAAAAATCATTAGAAAAAATCTTAAATATTTTTTTTTGGCTTTTGTTCAATTTAATTTTAAAACAATTCAATAAGACAAGAAAGCGCGCGAAATTCTTTATAATTTAAGTATTATAAATTTTTTTTGTATGTATGCACTTAAGTATAACAGATTATTTTGAAAAATAATAATACATAAATCAAGAAAAAGAGTTATTTTTATAACAATTTTATTTATAAATATGCCTGCCGATTGAACAACTTATTGTAATAAAAAAAATAATAAAAAGGAAAAAGATTTATAAA